CCAGCCCACATTGTTTGGCCCAAGTACATCGTCGTTAAGCTTTCGCTTCAATTGGGTAGGAGCACTCAAGAGCCCGAAAGGCACAAACATGTTTCTTACTGTGCAAGCGCCGATGTGGAACGGACAATCTTGCTTTCGTCTTGGGGATATATGCCAGTCTGCAAAGGCCTGACAGCAGGATCAATCGGCGAGAAGCTTGCTGAGTTTGCGACCGGCCAAATAGCTAATCCACCAGGGGCATCGGGAACTTTCGCTTCACCGTGTTCTTTCTGAGGGGCTTTAAGATGTCGCGCCAGCACAGCCTCTCGTAATTTTCTTTGTCTGGCACCGGATTTTGTCTAATTGCTCCGAGTGACGGCTGAAATGTGCCTTTTGCCTGGTTTATCTGGGGACAAGCCTACATTGCACCTCACCTCTTAAAGCTCCCATACAGTACATGCTGTCCACAGTAATCTGTGCAGTATTCTGCATGCTGCTGTAGCGCGCGTACCGAAGGCAAGTTTGGGCCCTTGGTGGGGTTGCTGTTGGCGCGGGGGTTGCCGTGTGCCGATTGTTCTCGATATTGGCTGGGGATAGCGCGCTGTAATAGGGTAAAAATGCTCCAAGTAAGAAGTCCACAGAAGCAACTGACCTCCCTCAGGTCTTTAATGCGGCAACCTCACATGCCTGCATAGCCTGCCCCCCCTGTTGCATGCACNCACCGCAGGGAGTTTTTAAGCACATACATGGCCCTCATTATCTCTTGAAGTGCCATTACCCACTTCAGAGGGGCGATGATACATTGCTTGTAGAATGTTAGGGCATGAGCCTTCACTTGGCTTTTGTAGGTCGCGTGTAAACGCTTGCAAACGTTCTGCAAGTACACTCAGAGGTAAAGCAAGCAGCAAAGAGAGCTTCGCTGAGGGTTCAATGTGTGCACGCGTGGGGCCGGCTTGTATTACTAGCCGCAGCGAGGTGCGCTCCGACTGCATTTCTGGCTGCTTCCTCCCCGCAACACCCAGGCCCTGAGCACAACACCCTGGACGCCTAAGGATTGGGGAAGGAAGTCAGCTGCTTTGGGAAACTCTTGCTTTAAGTCTTTTCCTACATTGCAGCTCGCCTCTGTCCTCGATAAAGGCCAGAGAACAAGTGTTATGCTGCTACACTCGGTGCAGAGACCCCGACATAATTGTTACACCACGCCTTGGTGAGCTCACGAAAATGATGTAAATGGTGTGCAGCATTGGCAATCAAGCTTCTGGGGTGTAGTATTATGGTGTATCTGCGGATTTCGCAAGTTAGAGAGTTACACTTTGCGCAGTGGCACTCGCGAACACATGGACGACGCGGAAAACTACAGGGACAACACAGAGCATTCCAAAACATGAGAAGAATGCTTGGAATTGTTCAGTTTTTTTCTAAATCAATCCATACCTGAAGTGTATATAGTTGTAAAGCCAGTAGGAAGATGCTAGAGCTACATACGATAAAGAGAAGAGGGAGCATACTGGCCGTAGAGGTAGGTATGCTGGGGCTGTGGGGGGGCATCTCCCTCAACTGCGTTTCGCTCTGGGAGGGCTCTTTCCAGTTAGGCTGTTAAGCACCAGCGCATCGTTACGTGGACTTTTTAATCTCTGAGCGTACAAATCGTACAGATTTGTCGTATGAGAACGTTTTCACGGTGGATGTGAGGACGAGGACTCCTGTGCGCACGTGTCAGCCAAAGGCCGCATCGCCCATTTTGAATTCAGAGAATACCACTTTTTATGAGACGTTGTGGATTTGGCTCTTCTAATCTGGCATCCTGTGGGACCCTGCTTTTGAAATGATGTAGGGCCTGCCTTACTTTTTGGGGCGGGCTCAAAACATGTGCCGATGCTGACAATTTGCGACCAGCAAGCGATAAACTCGAGCAGATATAGGCTGCACCACCTATGGGGGGTGCCACTCACAAGGTCTAGCCTTATGTTTGTCGTGTGGTGAGGCAACATCTTACTTGGATTTGCACTCATTTTTGCAGAGGTGTGCACCCGCGCAGCCTGTGGTTCGCATGGCTAAACTTCTGATTATCCTTTTCGCGTTTAGCCATATAAGATGGCTACGGGGTCCATATTTTGCTGCTCATCGCTGATTGAATGTGTGGGTAGTTGCTGACGTGGAGTTGTGTGTGTTTCGTCGGTTCTTCTCGTTTTGGTGGTNGGTTTCCCTCTGTTTTGAACTTACGAGCTGTTTAGGAATCTCGCATGTTCTTGGGAAGAGGGATATAAAGACTGAGTCAAAGACTCGAGCCTTTGGCATCAACGACACGCCTTGGCTCGTGAACTTGTCAACTGATTTACATTTGTGGCACGCAGAATCCGCAACCAGAAGGGCAGCGTTTAATTATTGTGCATTTTTGTCACATGTTTGTAGATCGGTGTATTTTTGAGAGTGGTTAGTTGAAGTCCGTTTATTACTTGTGCTCGTATACTGCTGAGCTGAGGCAAGGCTCTGTGGCTTGTTGCCACTAGATAGGAGGCTTGCCCCGTATCAATGAAGCAACTAATTAGGAATTTCTAGCCCAACCCCTTTACACTTTGCATATAGAGACAAACACGGTGGCGACAGTAAATGGACCTGCTTCATTTGCGATACCCATGAACGCTTGCTCGACGCAGACGAGCTCCCTAGTGCTGTCTGGGTTAACGTTCGTGGGTTGACTGAAACGGCTTCTTGTCGAGGAGCGGGGCCAGCCAGTGCAGCCTATGCGCCGTTTCTCTAGAGGGGGTCGGAAAACCAATATAATGGTGAAAGGCGGAACTTCGTTCTGTCTAGTGCTGAAGGGCATTGCCGGCGTCGGCGTTGCAACTTGTTCTGCTTGTCGCCGTGTCGCAGCTAGGCTAGTTTGATCCGCTTGCTACAGTTTATATTGGGTTGGACAACAGCTTCCTATCCGTGGGTGGCTGGAGTTGGAAGTACAGCGGGCCGCTTTGCAGTCCTGGCTGCCCCGGTATATTGCATTCTTGCTACTGGGTTGCTACTGTGTCAGCCAGCTGCACAGCATTGCGGCGCGTCCTATAGTGTGCATTTGACTGGCAGCAAGCTGCTGAGCTAGTCGTCGCTTTCTAGTTGCTAAGGGAATTCATGTGGCTCACTGCCACTTGGAGGGAAGCGGGGCGTCCTGCGATTTGTCGGTTCGGGCTTTACCTAGCTCCAGCAGTTTACTACTGACTNGACCTATTTATCGTAGCGCAGCGAAGTTGTTTGTCTAGCTGATTATGTCGGGCATATATCGCGTGTTCTCCCTTTGGGGAGATAGTTCATTCTGGGAGGTGCATGCAGTGCTTTAGCAGGAGCTATTCTAAACGCAGAGCTTCGTTGAATCTGGGGACGGGAATACCCACCGCTTCGGCGTTCCACTGAAACACCATCGGTACTGCAGCTACATACAGCTGTGTTGTTCTTACGCTTTAGATACTGCTTGTTCTAACTGTTGGTGCGTGTAAATAGTAAGCTTCCCAGGTCTCCTTCTCAAGTTCACGTTGCCATGGTTAGCTGACATCGGCATAGTCTTCGTTGACCACACAATTTGTTTGGCCGTTCGTCCATTGTGACTTCTAATGTCTCGCAGGGTGTTGTCGTTTTTAGGTATATTTGAGGATTACAGTCTTGTGCTTTTTAACCAGTTCAATCGTTAACTGCTAGGTAAGTGCATGCGCAGTTTCATTCGGCGTGACGCCGTGACGATGCCAGCTCGGCTCAGGCCTCCGCTGGCGGTCCCAGCCTATCACTGCCAGCGGTCGCTGGAGCTGGTTGTGCAGTTCACGTTCTAACTTCTGGAACATTGATGAAATATTTGCAATTTATTGGCAAGCAAATAGACATCAGTTGCCCCTAGACAGGACCGAGGTCCGCACCCCGAGCGTGCTTGAACCGTTGAAGACCATAGCGTCGCCCAGGTGACCTGTTACGACTCCGAGCAAACTGCAAACGTTCCCTGCAGAAGCATCCGGATCGCAAGTTAACTGCATTCTGGTAATCTCGTTTGTGCTATTTTCTGCTGGTCGGCCGTTCTGGTCGTCTGCCGGATTTCTGTAGGGGTAGTCGGGTAGCGTGCTGCATCCGGCGTGGGGAGTGAGCTGTGTTTTCAGGTATCCCCTGTGCCTCAAGCAAAGGACAAACGCCATTTTCGAGTATCACTGCACTTTCTCAGCTGTGTGACCAGCTAGTGAAGGCCTCCCGGCGTTCTGTGGGGGTGGCAGGAGCGACTTGCAGGCTCTGGGCCACTTCGCGAACTGTTCGTTAACTTGCTTTTGGGTCGCATCGTGCATTTTACTCTCAACGCTTCGGCGCCGTTTGCCAAACGAAGCGCCAAAATACTTAGGGAGCAAAGCGTCAAGCATCCCCTGACATTTACACTTCCTGACAATCCGAGCGTTACACTGGCGCCAAGTCCTTGAGATGAGTCCATGAGTGGCATCATCGGCGGGCGGCACAGCGACTCAATCTCCATCTTTCGCACGCCCTTGAGACTCTGTGTATGTTGCGGAAGATAACTTGGAAACAAGTGACTAGCCCCGCCAAACTCGACACATCACGACGAAGCTGTTAACTGGACCCGCATTATTGCTGGTAGCAAGAAGACAGGCAGGGCGATACGGTGATCAACGGCAAATATAATGGATGCCTCTTCTCAAGCATCCCAAGGCAAGCGCATATTCATGTTTTTCGTGTCCTAATCGCCAGGTGCAGTGCGAATTCACAGCTGCCCTTTGCGGCGTATCTTCCGCATTGCTGTGCCTGTTGATACATCTCAGAGGTCCCATTGAACTTTCCCTGAGTTCCGTCCCTGTGGTGCAGACATAAAGAGATGCCTATCAACTTGCGACGTCCCAAATGAGCTGAAAAAGGCGCCAGTGTTGCATGGCGCACTGCATTGCTCTGTTCTCCAACATACAACAGACTCTTCAGCGACAGAAGCACCGCTGTCACCATTCTCTCCGGAGGGAGCACATGCTTCAGTTGATAGCCACTCGGGAGGAATGCTGCCCCAAGAATCTGTATGCGCCCAAACACCGCAGAATCCCAAGGAAGAGGAGGATCTGCAAGTCGATAAGAGCAGCCGCATTACGCCAAAGGGCAATCAGCCGCGCGTCAAGCAAAATGAGGCTTCTCAGTCTTCAACAGAAAAAAAGCCTGCATCCTCTGGCTCCTGTTTGTCAGCTAATGCGCCTCCGTACACTCCTCAGTCATCAGCAGCGAAACAGGCAATCAAAGCAGCGAACAGTTTAGGCGCCATGACGGGGACGTTTGACTTGGGATTCATTCGTCCCTTTAATTTCCCCCCTGGAAATCAGCAGCAACAAGCTTTACAGCAACGACCCGGTTATTCGTCCATAGATGCGCCCCTGCCGGCTTCTTCTGATTCCAGGGTGTCTCGCCGAACAGAATCAGCAGGAATTGCCCACAAGGAAACTCAGTTCCAATCAGATACCTTTCGGAAGACATCAATTAAGTCAAATATGAATGCAGCGAATTCTACAGTACCCCTTAAATTCTGCAAGTTCCTCGTAGGCGAAGATGTTGCAGGATTCTTGGTTGGGCGGAAGGGCGTTGGTGGGTCAACGTTCATTATTACTGTTGCCATTCATCATTTTCTAGTCTGTGCAAAGATATACCGCTGGCCAGCTTGCCGAGCTTGCGTACTTTTCGCGCAGTGTTCGTCCTTCACTTTAATATCTGACATCTGTGGTGAATATCTCAGGCATTGAGGAATTCCAATCTCGAAATGGACCAGGGCTAAAAGTCAGCGTTTCAAAGCGGGGAGAACTTTTTCCTTGTTTGTTGGAGCGAACAGCGACTGCCGTTGGAGTTGGTGATGGAGTGGAGCGCGCTTTACTAGAAGTGTCTCGCGTAGCACTTGACAGAGCGATGCATAAAGAGGAGGAGAGGCGAATTGACAATGGAAAAAAAATATGCAAGCCCAAGGTGAATTTATCAAACTTTCTTAACCAGTTTGCTGTCCTACTGAACTACGCCTCTTGGAATAGCGCCAACCTGCCTTCATCCGGCCTCATACACTGCTCCAGTGCAGAAATATGCACGTTGTTTGGGATTTGTAGGGATGCTTTAAACTCGTCGTGCCTGAGTCTGCCCTTGTGCATATATTCACGCCGGATGCCGAGGGGCGTGTGCCTATGCTGGAAGTTGGTAGGTACAGGTTGCCGAGATCTGCGTGTTCGCCACTTTACTTCAAAGCGCAGAATGGAAGGTTTGGCTTAGTAGGTACAAGAGTTCTGCATTGCGTTGGACCCTGACAAAATCCTAATTTTCCTCCTTTATGCGTCGCAGCTAAGAAGCACGGAGTTGAGATTCTCTCTTCTGCGGAAGGCGGATATCTGCACAATAAGATTCACCATTTGGGACTAAAGGTGCCGAAGTCCCCTGTTCCCTTTTGAGCCTTATGCTTGCGTTTTTGGCCTCTACGAACCTGTCAAACTTAGCTAATCGTTACCCTGCCGATGTGCTCGTTTTTATTATGCTTGAATGCATGTGGTGTTGGCCAGGAAACCGTTCTGCAAATAATTGGCACGTCGGATACGGTGCCAACAGCAGCGGTGGATCTGTCATTGCTCTACCAGGGTGATCCATCTTTGCCTTCGTCTCTCCAGTTGAACTACTCGCACGCACACTTTGTTGCCACTCCGCCTCCTCCCCCTACCCCTCCGCCCTCTCCAGCTCTGAGCAGCAGTTGTGGCAACCGCATCCCACCCCACTTTGCTCACCCCGCAGGAGTGCTGCACTTAACAAGTGGCCACCAGCAATTTGGAGCCTCAAGCAGCTGGAGTCATACGCCGCAGCCGACGCCTGTTCTGGACGGCTTGCGGGCATCTATTAGCTCGCAGGCATCTATGCTCTGCATGCCATCAACTGTAGGCAGCTCGGACAGCATCCCAGTTGGTCAGGTGTCACAAATTGAGTGCCAGCTAGCATCGCGAAAACAAGGATTTCAGGTACCGTCCTCCTATTCCATTCCTAGCAATGGCAACGGATATCTAGGCGGACGCAAGAATTGTAAAGATAGTGCTGCCGCCAGCATGCCGGCGCTGGCGGGAGAACGCCTCACGGCAGAGCTGCAGCAGCATTTAGGGGCTGCTATAGTTGCTGCAGCAGCTGCAAGTGCGGTGCCTGTGCAGCATCAACCGCCTGCCATACCGATTAGCTCCAATTCATCATTTTGGACCCAGCAGCAACAGCTCCATGATATGCAGCACCACCAGGAGCAACCGCAACAGCAGCTGCAATCGCACCTGAGGGCATCATGTAACTGGGCGGACCTGCAGCTTCTTAGTCAACTCTGTATGGCTCATCCTCAACAAATTTCGAAGCCCAACGAACCGCCCAGGGTGCTTCCCCAACAGCATGCGCAGCGGGGGCAGATTCATCAACATGATGATTTGCAGCAGTCAATTCTGCACAGGCAGATACAACAGGCCCAGCAAGAACAGGCAAACCGGTTGTCTTCCAACCAACTACATGAATTTAGCGGGTCTCGTCCGTCATCCGCCTCTCCCCCAATAAGCTTGCAACAACTGCAGCAGCACATCCAGACACTACAGCTGCAATACAAGGAGGGCGAGCAGCAGAAGGAGAATATTGCTAGTGCAAGGTCTTTTCTCCCACACGCTGGGCAAATGAACGAAGAGACGCAGGTGCTGCTCTCGAAACAGGTGCAGCAAGAGCTGCAGCATCACTTGCAACAAGAGCTTCAGCGGCGCCTGCCCCAGAATCTGCAACAGAGCCAACACTACCGCCCACCTCAAGCAGAGCTACCACCTGTCCAGCGGTGGGCACTACCCCATGCGACACTGCTGCACGGCGAGCAGCACTATCCACTTACGTGGTCAGACCCAGGGCAGGGACAATTCCAACAGCTGCAACAGCTCCAGCCACTTCGAGACAGGGCCTTATTAAACCAGGACCCCGCCGATGCAGCTAAGATCCAACACCTCGAGCCTGAGCTACTGCAGCAACCATCACAAGATGCCCCAATCGAGCCGCTTTCTCCAGTGCCGCCTCCCCAGTGGGCGCAAATCCCGCAACACCAACAGCAACAACAAGCACAGCAACCACCTCAGCAGCGAAATGATGTGAGGATCTCATTAGCTTCCCCTCAGGGCATTCCCGGTTGTACCTCCCCTAGACTGTCCGCTCAGCTACCACAACGGGAACAATCGGCCATTTTGTTAGAGGCTAAGGAGCCTATTAACACCGCCACCCTACCTCAGCACCCAGAAAGTGCCGCATACGGTCTGACACAACCTGTGTTAAAGGGGTTCGTGCATTCTGCGCTTTCCCAGGTCATCCAGTCTGAAGAAGAAACATGTGACCCTCTCGCAGTGCGCAAGCTTCTAGAGGACCTTCTTAAGATCATGAACCTCACCACAACCGAGGAAGCTCCGAAATGCCAGGGACCGAAGGTGGCTACGCTTAACCATACAACAGACACTTCGTTGGACAACGAAGCATCGAGCGGAGTTCAAAAAATGGTAAAAGAAATCGGGACTCGGACAACGGAAGAAGTGGAAGTGTGCTCCATCCAACCTAAAAAGGTACTGTGCATTTAAAATAATGAAACCACTGAAACCACTTCACAAGGGACGTCAGGGATCCTAAGGGGATGTGTATAGCTCACAAAATCATTGTGGCTTCCAATTAGGTATTCCGCTTAGATAGTACTTGAGCTCGTTGTCCTGAGAAGAGAACTGAGAGAGATAAATGCAGAAGATCGATTATCAGCTGATGCTGCTGCATCTGCCAATATCGTCGCCTGTGTGCAGCCTTCAGAGAAGCCAGTCCTGAATCATTCTTCGCAGCGGCAACAGCCCCAGCGGCAGCAAGGCTCGACCAGCCACCGCAGGAGACGAAACGCTACCTCTTCCACAACCAGGGGAGAACCTGGGACTAGTAGAAAAGGAACAAAACTACGTTCAAAGGTCCCGCATCATGTATGCGCCTCCACTCCGCGCATTGCGTAGCTCCAGACGGTCCTCGCGGCATATTCGGCTTGCTTTTGAACCGGCGTCGGAAAAAGGCACTTCTCTCGTACTCAAACTAAATCTGGCATACTCGCCCCAGGCCTGCCTTCACAATCTGAGAAATAGAGCTACAGTCTTGGGAATCAATGTGTTGAGCCTGCCTTTTTGTGCATATCGATTCTATACCATTTGGACCCCTTATGCATTTGCTGAGTGGCAACAGAATAAGGGGCTATTCGAATTCCTGTTACCACTTTGTGGTCCTCTATCTCTGATACAGCGTTGTCTGCCTGTTATCAAAACTACAGAAGCGCAGTTGTGAAAGTGGTATTCCATCTTGTGTCTCGCCTTCTGTTCCTTGAAGAACGACACTATGTCCGTCACCTATGCATCCGACGAAGACCGCCCTACATTGGGAAGTCTGTTCACATTTGTGCTATTTCGGCTATTGTAGCGCTAACCTGCGCTCGTGTTTCGTTGTGCGTAGTATTATACAACCAGGTATTCGCACACAGCACGGCTTTGTTGCTTTGGACTTCACAAGCTTCGAAGATACTGGCTGGTGCTTTGGACTCTAAACTGTATTTGCGACGGCAATTTGCCGCCAAAAGGCTTGGGCCTCCGATTTGCTCTCCCTGTGCAAAACGATGCGGTAGCGCACAGAATTTGTCGGTCGCGTAGCACCTGCGGCCGGATGGAATGAGAAAGTATGCTACAAAGGCGCATCAATTTGGGCCTGATCAGAATCGAATGATACAATGACGCCGGCAGCATTGAATGAGTATATTCAGTTGCATGAACTTAGAAGAATCAGAGCGCCTCCTTTCTGACTGTGCATCTTCCAAGTTGGAAGGATAGTTACACGCACGCCTAACTTGACGCATGAAGTTTCATGAAGCATAGCTTATGCAGCGGTAGGTGTCAAGATGCAAAAAACTGCCAATTTGACTACTATCGGGAGCATCCGTTTCGCTTTTTTATTAGATCGCCACTGAGATCAAACACCATCGAGCAAATCACAATATTGCGATCGCGTCTTTCTTAAGCCCTGAGACCATTTCGTCTCCTGAAAATGAAGACAAAATCTGTCGCCATCGGTTTTAGCTTCTCCGGCACTAACTACCTAAAGATGTATGCTGCAAATACAGCGACTTCAGGTGCACCGGTAGTAGCAGCAGCAGGGTGTTCTGCCGGAAATTCGAACGTCGATTTTGAGAAGCCATCCTGCACTCCTTGCTGTTCCAATGTGAGCTACTAGCATCCGGCGTACAAAGGTTGTGAAACTCCAGTTGGGCGACCAAGGCAAGAAAAACATAGTAAAAAAATTACTGCTCGCTGAGCAGTTCATAATTCTGACGGCAGCAAACCAGGAGAGGTAAGCGATGCACTGAATAGGCAGCTGCGCTGGGAGCTCGTCATATACCAGGACTTTCGACACAGGACCAAGCTTTCGACCAAAAGCGGTTCTTCGCCCTGCACCTGCAGCAGCAGCAACCGCAGCGGATCCTGGACACTCCGGCAAACAGTGTCACTGTTAAGCTGAACAGCTGCTCTAGTCCTTGTTCCCCCCCCTACGTTACTTGTAGGGCGACCTCACGATGAAGCCCTGCCTTGGCGGGAGCAGCAGGCCAAGGCTACTACAGAAGGAGGTCCACCTCATTTTCGAGAGACGCGTTTTTTCAGCTACGGCGGAGGAAATTGGAAAAAACAATATGTCATCCGCTGCCCATTCATACACTGAAGCATATGAGCTTCTTCCACGGACGCGAAGAATTCGGTATCACTGACGCGCCTGTGGAGCTAACAAATTTAGATGCAGTTGACAATAATGTCGTAAGCGCAAAGCTCGAGGAGACACGTATAGATAAATACACATCTGTGTTTAGACCTACTCCACCGAAGAAATAAACCCACGGCTCTGCTCTAGCAAGAATGGGGTCCGGGAAGGAACCGGTGAGCAAGCATATTTCCACTCAATGCGCAAGCGATCTTTTCCGTGCACCTGAGTGTGCGTGTTGCCGTGTTCATGTGGCTCTCCCAATGCCCGGAGCCGGAAGGAGGTGTCTCCAAGCCAACAGTATATCGATAAACTGTGCATGGAAGTTGAGGATTAACCAAGCTAGATGCGATCCGTGCTCTCAGTCTTTCTCTTAGAAGCAAGCGTTACTTAAGGACGGCCTGAAACTGCTGACTTTATCTCTTCGAAGGAAGTCCAAGTCAGTGCAGCCATTAGGCTGCGTTTCAGTAGGCGCATTCCAAGGCCACGCCACAAGACGCCGGGTCCTTCTTCCCTCGCCAACTGTACGACACGGCGAATAAGCCCTCTCTGCGCCGTTCCTTGCCGCTCACTGGCCTGAGCACTAGAGTTAACTACTGTCGACGCAGTCATCGATGCTGACGCAGCTACCCCATCCAGTTGTAACCGTGTCCTCAGTACATCAAACGGGTGTGTAATAGCCGAGGCAGTGGCTGCTGCAACGGCTCCGCAACCGAAGTTCTGCAGTGCATAGAAATTGACGCGCTCTCGGGAGTCTGCCTCCACACCCAAATGGCTTTTCAAGTTCACGTAAACCACAAAAAATAGCCCTGAGAAGGGAAAATCGCGGCAAATTGTAGCCAGAGTTCCTCGAAACCAGTCAACAGGGCGTTCGTTGCGGAGCAGTTGCATAAAGGCCCGTGACATGCCTCCGGATCCCTAAGACAATTAAAACGCACAAAGGAAGGCCTCACATATGCCAGCATGCAATCCCATGCATTGCAGTTTCAGCCTCAATACACGGCTTTGAATTCCGCCAATACAGGACAGTGCCTCGTATTAGGCACCCCTACCGGGCTCAAAGAACACAAACTCACCAAGGAAGATTCCATTCTAGTTTTTACAATGGAAATTGGATTGAAAATGGCTACGGCCGCCCCCCTGGCTAGGCCAGAAATAACCCCCAGATACCATGCTGGGACAACGTTCGGGTCCAGCTGAAAAAATGCACAATGAGAAGTCTGCAGTGTAGCGTCAGCGAAGACCCGTCAATCATGAAGATGTAATGTCCGTCATGGTATACAATACAGTCACGGCAAAAATGGCCTCTATAGCCACGAAAATGTACCTCTAGGGGCGTGTCTGTTAGCCTTTCCAGCGGTAGAGACTTCAGGTGAGGAGCTACAGCTCTCCATGTACCCATCATTGGCCCTAAAGCTGCAAAGTAAACGCCTGAGCCATAACGGTGCCAACACAAATCATCTGCGCGGAGGCTATCGATTCTACAAGTCAGGAATGCAGTGCGGCATATTCATTTGCGGGAATTATCAATTACCGGGCCAAAACTTTGCACTGAAAGTCGAACTGTTGGAGCGGCTAAACTGCGGCCAAGAATCCTAATCATGGGCCATATTTCTTGAATACGCACCGGTCCCTGGGGCAACCCGAAGGATAGTGGCAAATGAACCTCGCCAAAAGCCCAAGGCTCCATACTCCTTGTAGATCGAAGATGCAGCAGCTCTGATTGAAGGCCGCAAGCCTGATAGGCACTGCTGTTGCTGGATCCACACAAGGAAAGGCTCAAGTCAGGGGCAATTTAAGAGTCGCATCTGCTAAACCAATGGCGGGAACGGAGGTGTAGCAGTCAGTTCTGCAGTGCAAGGGTGCAGCAGCTGGAGCACTGGTCAGGAAGACACTTGAAGGAACGAGTCTTGGGACACCCCAGCAAAAGCTTCGGATGGGTCCTAGAGAGCAACTACCCTACCTGTCGTGTTTTAATGATATCCAGAGGTTGAAGAAATACGGCTGCTGCACAGCTTGATAGGGCGCCATAGAGACCCATTCGGGTTGCAGAAGTGTCATCGCGACTCCCACCTCCAAAAATTGCAGCACTGCTCGCACTGCCTCTCCGGGTACCACTGTCACTGCTCATTTTAGTATGTGGCGAGGGCTTGGAGCCGTCAGCCGATTCAGGGTCAGATCTTTCCATTGTCCAGGCGCCACGAGTTGGGCGGATCCACAAAACGTATGCTCCCCAAAACTAACTCCGAGAGCACTTTAATTGACACCAACGGTAATGAGATACAGACGTAAAGCAGACTTCAGGACATTCGTTGGCGGATAAGGAACGTACCCTCCTGTGCTGTTCTGCAGAACCAAAACTGCCCCATACCACTGCAACTCCCGCTGATAAGTTTCAATTTCCTCTCTAAAAAAGCAATTTTCACAACGTTACGTTTCTAGGTAGAAAGTTACTTCTGTACGGGGTCAGACCCATGAGCCCAGCGACCCCTCCAGAGGTTCTTTGCCGATCCAGAAAAGTGGTCGGCACGTAGAAACAAACAAGTTTTAAGGAAAAAACATGGGCCTCATGTTTAATTTTACATGCGTTTGACTTCAAAAATGAACTAGAAGAACAGAAGATCCCCAACTTGCCTCTTAAGCGTCGTACCAGCTGAACCAGAACCTTGAAGGGAACGGAAGCTGGTAGGGAAGCAAGTGAAGATGGAAAGCCGCATTTGTGAATTTGTATCAATTTTCAGGTATCTGTAGCAGGATTAAGTTGTCGGTCATTTGTCTTGTTGCCACATCTCAGGGTCACTTGAGAACTCATTAGTGATGCCCGATTGCTGCATTCTCACAAGCTTTCTTCTACACCTAAGCAGTAGCCAAACTAACATCCTAGAGCAATCGAAAGTCCTCTCTGGCCTAGGCCAGTAAATACTTACACACATTTCACGTTTGAATGTTCAGGCTTTATCCGCAAGCCACAATCTAGTTTTGCTTTTCTCCTGGCCGGCACGTTAAGCTTAGGAGAGTTACCTCTGGTGGTGGGCTCTACAGCTTCAACTCTAGTTTAGTCCAGCAGGACAGAAAGCATGCTTCAACGGATGATGTAGTCTTAAGTGGCCATCTTTTCAGAGTTAAGTACTATCCGCCCCAACACTTAAGTACAACAAACTACTGGGCTCGAGTGTACTGTAAGCCGCCCGGTTCTACTGATACCACGAATTCATGTATTCATCGCCAGTTGTCAGTATTTTATCAATTTCTGCCGCATATTTCGTTATATTATCGACAAACAGGCGATGAGCATGCACGAATTCAAAGTAGCTTGATTCGGCGCCTCCACTGAAGCGTTGCTGACGATGTGAACCAACAATCTTAGTTCGTAGCCGTGCCTCGCATCAATTCAACTGCGTTCCAGCAGTTCCTAGGTGGATTTGAATGAACCGTCGTTTCTTCTTAGATACTGTTCCCTACCTAATTGAGGCCACTGAATTGTGTGGCACTCTCTAGAAGCTGTTAGCTCGAAAGCTCGAAAGTCAAGTCCCATAGGCGTTTAGAGCACCGCTTTCCCCTGTGACCCCATGCTGCTTCCTTTATTCCGCATTCCTGCATAGTTTGGCTGCCCCCCGGTCCTTCGGAACACTTTCGTGATGGCTACGTATCATTCCGCATTCTTAGACGCTCGAAAGGAGCAACACGCGGTCACCACCAATAACATATCTAGGGTCTTACCGACGCACGCGTGCAATCAACTACAGAGTTCTNCCAGGAGAAGTAAGCAGCTAGCATAGTCTGAAGTGAACCCAAAACAAGAAATCGCACTGGATGCTTCACTGCTTCAAAGACACCCACCCACCCGAACAAAGCCTTACTCGTACGGAAAACAGTCATGTGTCTTGCATCGCCTTGTTGCTGCGAAGCGTGTGAGCAAGGCGTCAAGCCTCCCAATGGTAAATCGTGAAAACCCAAGTTCGCCTCAGTTTGTGGTATCTGCGCTTGACTGCGCTTAAGCTAAATTAAAGGCAGTCGAGAAACTAGGCCACTTAGCTTATCCAAGTGGTAGGCAGTTGCGCGGACATTTGGGATGAGGCGAACCGGGACGCATTACGTCATAATGCCGATTCACCCAGGCGTCCGTTTTCCGCTGGACGCCTCAAGCAGTGTGTACCAGATGAATTAGACAAACTTCATGCCAGCAGAGGATAGCCGGCCTGTGGGCCGGAAAGGGCAGGCAGCTGTGTTAAAACGTGACATGTCCGCACGGTAAGTACGAATAAGCTGGGCAAAGCCTCTTATTAGTCGAGCTTGTTAGATCGGATGCTGGTGACTTGGGGACAGCAAATAAGGAGGGCAAAAATATCTAAGACTTCAGCATGTCAGTCGAAGTAAGAAGTTTGTTGGTCCATTGCAAACATAACCATCGACCTCTGTTCATCAAAAGATAGATGGTACGATGGAAGCCTTTTACTGAAGGCCCTACTACGCTGTATGCGCCCAAATCGGTGAGTTTCGTCCTCTGGTGTTAAAACACAAGACAACCTTCACCTAACCACTGCCTGGAGCCTTTGACGAAGGCATTCCTGGTTTTTTCACATTTACTTGGGGCACAGCGGAGGTCCGACGAACTTCCGGGACCTGCTTAGGTACGGGACCCATATTTTTGGGGGGAGCGCCAAAAGGCATTTGTTTTCCTTGTGCACTCGCCACTTGTTGCGGCACGCCTAGCACCTTCGTAGGTGGACCNCAATAGTTCCTGGAAGTGGTCCCGACTGAGCAGCTTTCTTCGGCTGAGCCGCGTCCGCCTGCAGCAACGGAAGCAAGAACCCAATAGGAACCCTTCGGCTGTCTCATTTGTCACGCGAAACTCGCTTCGAAGCTGCCTCGTCTGTGGCCTGGTGCTCTATATATTTGCACTTACCTTTGCGAGCAATTCTTTTGGGAGCTCATTGGCTTGAACTGGCCTTCCCCAGGTATTAACGAACTCGCCCTCCATTGTAACAAATATTTGAGATCCATATGTGGTCACATACTGTCTTCCCGAAGGATTCAGACAAGGGGATACTATCAAGGGCGTCCCGTCAGGTCTCAACACATTGATGCCATCGGGATTACCTAGCGGCGCAGCAACTGGTAGAGCGCTTTCTTCAGCCTTCTTCTTTAGGAGCGTCATGCGCTCTTCTTCTGTCCCTCCAGACCAATCATACCCTAGCCAAGATCGAACCCTTCTACTGCACACAACTGTTATTAGGACTAGCACTGTGGAGGCAAGAGCACCAAATAGACAACAGACAACAAAGTTAAAGCAGGATAGCCCAAGGAAAAAGGATTCTGTTGCTGCTGAATCGGCCTCCAGGGTTTGAGTAGATGCCGTGCTCCCTTCTCCAGTAGGTTTGGCGTCAACAGGAGCTACCTGTGAGGCCTGCTCGCCGTCGTTATTGATTCCAGGTGAAGTATCANAGGCCAGTCTCCTCCCTTACAGGCCTTCTAGGAACCGTATCTTCTATGAAAGGCGAATCGTATGGGATTTTCGCCTGGCCTCCCTGCGGTTGAGCCACGACAGAAGGATCCTGTGTACTCCCGTCGTCGGTAAGAGATTCTGCAGCAGTGTTCCCCTCGACTGTAAAGTTCTGTGTCTCGTCAACCTTGGTAGAAGGTGCCACAACAGTCAACCCTTCAACTGCAGTGTCGAGAGTATCGTCATCCTCGGTGCCATCTGCAACTAAGTGTGGCATATCACTATCCGGCCTTGCGTTGCCCTCGTCCTCAGCGAGAGTCGAGCCCTCCACGGTGGCCACTGTTTCGTCTTCTGTACGGGCCGCCCCAGCAGGCTTTTCCAAGTACTGTATCGTTGGTTCGCCTGACGTAACATTATCAGCAGAATCAGATTTGAGCATGAAACGCTCTGAGACGTCCTCAATCGGCACTGTTTCCGACTTCCCAACTGGTACTCTCCGCGGTTCCGCCATGATGTTTTGGGGATCGCCGTTCGGCGCACTTCTTCCTGGGTAGTTCCCCGTAGCTAGTGAACTCAGGAGCATCCGCCCACTAACAGGCGCTTCTGTGCCAGCCACGCTTGCGAGGGAATGCAGATGAATGGCAGAAGAAGCTGCGTAACCCGGTCTGTCAAACCCTTTTTCTACGCGGTCATATGCTGAATCAACTCTGTGCTCCTCTGTAATCCCGCTCGAACAGTTGGGAACAGTCCCACAGGCTTTTTGCATTTCAAGTGAAGCTGTATCACATCTGGGTGCCAGACCTGGCACTGGGTACTGATGCACGGTGCGTGTACGGGTCTGGTGAGCAGTAATCCCCGTGGTGTCGCCGGAGAGGCACTTCGGCGAGCACTCACTCCACTCCGAGTAGGGGCTGTAAATGCAAAAGCCTGAAATCGATTTGGAAATGGCAGCAGTGAAGCCCCCTAGCAACCCTGAAGCTTCAGTCCCTACGTTTACTCTGTCTTTGCAGAGCCGAGCTTCAAGAACAGCATCACATTGCAGCGCCACCTTGGGGCGCGACAGCGTCTCCCTGACGCGAACTTGCCACATTGCTGGCCTATATTGGGCAGCACCATCTGATTCAAACTTAGTGCCGTTCCTACTTTCATCAGTCTTGTCAGCCTCGAGCATATGACTGTCGTCGCACGGTGACCACGAAGTCCATGGAGAGTATGTACACGATATGTCCTCACACGTGCCTAGATCGCTGTTGGATGCCCCTGTTTCCAGAGAAGAGCTACCAGCATTACTACTTTCAGAAAGTAGGAACATCAATGAGAAGGGACTGAATGAAGCACATGCAGAAGGAAACTGGGCACCTAATGTGTCGCCATTATCCAGATGACGTGGCTCAAAAACCTGCGTGCTCACAGCAAAACATACGCAACAGTGAAAGTCTCTGTATCACGACGCACAACCGTTGACTTCCTTGAAAGTGTTAGGAGAGCACGTTAAGAGGGGATGGTTTCTTCAAGCGCAAATGTGCGTCGTTCTGCCGAGACGCCAGCACAGTGCACTCAGGCAAGTCATTGTGGATGCACAAAACATTTACAACGTCGGAAAGCGTATCAGGAAGCTCACGGCTCTTATCTCACAAACTTGCTTGGCCGTGTCAAATACAGCAAGAACAGTGCCGGTTTCTTCACCCAGACGCTCTACAACCTCTCGTCGAAGCTCGAGGGCATCCTTCTCGTCGAGCAACTTCGCAGTGTCCCTGTCTATAAGGCCTGTCTCTGCCTGTAAAGTGTCAGAAATGCCATGTAAGGAAAGCTTCGTTGTCTCCTCCGCGCTCAAGCCGAGTATGAGCTGCAACAATCGCTTCGCTTCTCTTGCCGCACTCTCGGTGTCTTTCCCCGACGCCTTAATCTGAGAAACCGCAGTGCGGTACTTGTCCAAGTGCTGAGAAACATCTCTTAAGAGACCCTGGCACTTCTGCCACGCCGTCGAGCTAGCCACCCCTGAAGTGTGCTGCGCTTCGGCTGCATCCACAGACGAGGTTGATGTCAGCATTGACGAATGCGTCTGCAGGGCGGGTAACTGCACGCATCCGCGGTTGAGCAACTCTACGCCTGAAAAAACTAAGCAAGACGCGCTTGAAGGAGTTGCTGAATAGAAATTCTTTCTTCCTCCGTCTGTAAGCTGCGGTGAACCGTCGTCCTTGCCAACACGAAGTTGAGCAGCCTGTACCGCGGACTCTCCATCAAATTGCGAGGCACGTAAGGCTTGGTCAGCATCAACAGCAGCTTCTTCCATCACTCTAATAGCCTCAGGAAGGAAATGACTAGCCAACTGCGCGTGGTGGCCGGCTTTTTGTACAAGTGTCGTTTGCCACTCCGCCCTCTGCTGAACGTTGGCAGCCTTCGAGTTCTTCGTGCTTGACCTGTTGAGCAGGATATTTGCACTACCCAGCACATCCTTCATCCTCGCCAGCTGTTGCGCCATTGAAGCACGCATTACACGGGCAACATCTCCAAAATCTATATCTAGATTTATTACCAGCAGAGTCAGGGTGTCCTCCCCCGGCTTTCTTGTCGGCTCAACCCCACACTCTGCAACGCGTGACACCTTCACGCCTGTGTACAATGTGCATACCGGACTACCGCTCGGCGAGTTCACTCCCACAGAGTCCTCATCCAGTGCAGAAAGCTTGGCGAAATTATCGTCAAGACTGTTCATTGCAGAATTCGCGCTCGCCATCGTACTCTCTAGCACATTCAGGGCGTCCCGTTTAGGGTCTCCGAGCGAGCTCTCGCGTTCTTCCCCCTGTGCGGAGACAATATCCTTAGTATATATTAGTGCACTACAGCTGTTGTGTAATCGACACAGAGTGACGCAACTGTATAGGCCGAGCTGCTCTGAAGCAAAAACAGTGGCTTCCCAGCCTGGAACTTCCCCCCCAAGCTCTTGCGCCCTTCGATAATTCAAGTGCTCGGTGCGCCTTGCAGTCCAGATTTCTTGATCGATACGATCCAGCATCAGACGTTCCTTGCACGACTCAGTAAATTCTATCTGTGGAAGAACTCCGAAGGAAGCCACCAACGTCGGATCCTGTGCAATCTGCAAATTTGCTGTCTTCAAATCCGTTGGCACTTCAAAAGGNCCATCCATTGTATATTGGGCTACCATATTTTCTACCTCGTGGAGAAAGGAATCGGACAATTCGTCGCTGCTAGGAAAAACAAGACGCAACCCCTCAACAGCCAACTTGCGTGCTCGCTCGCTGTCAGCCGTCTGGCTGCCCCCGTTGCAAAAACGAGAACATTCACTCCACGAGACTAATGAGGCCGCCTCAGCAGCGATTGTTGCCATATCCGATGAAGGGGTACCCGCAGACAGTGCAGCCTTCAGTCGTGCTGTAACGAAGCTTATGCCATCACTATGAAGAGGCTCAGCAAAAAGCAACATGGCATTCCCACGTGGTTGATCTCCTGGGGCATCTCCCGCTTGACCCCCGTTAGCGTCAAGCCCAGTCACGACCTTCCATGCACAAGATAAAATTACCGCAGCTGCTACTAGGAGATTCAAGTAACTTAACGCGTGCCTGCGAACAGGGCTCCTTGCGCAGCGCCTTTCAAAACCCATGACAAAAACACGTTGAATCTTTGAAGAGATCTCAACGTGGTGCAGAAGCGAACACACTCTGTGTTCGACATACTTGCGGAAACACGGAGAGAGGTTCAGATTTTCCCATGACGCGGTACGCTGCTTCCCAGTCGCAGCGCCTTCCGAGCTTCCGTGCACCAGAAATGTGGGGTGAATTGAAATTCTTCTCATTCCACTTGAGGGATTCCCCGCAACGCTATTCTTTCTTCGTGAGAAATGCGGGGATTTGTTTCCAAGACTACCGTGTGTTTCCGGCACAGGCCGTGCATGTCCTGAGGCCCGAAATACCGGCTCGGAGCCTGGAGCCATCTGGCCATTAGGGGACCGTCAATCAGTTGATGATGTCAAGGGACTTGCTTTGACGCCCTTGGAATACACTTATGTCCAACAAAAGGGCGAGAAGTGTAGCATCGATGAACTCGCCATGGGCACGATCGAGGTGCGTAGACGAGGTGAGAGCAGAATTCCTAACCAAAGCCCCCTATACAGGCTTGAGTGAAATTACCTTTTAAATTTCTTGATGCAATACCCCATATATTACCGTCTGGGATGCATTTGTCCCATTCCCACCAACGCTCCGACTCAAGGCGGACGCTCGCACCGGCCAGCCAATCGAAGGCGCGCAGAGATCAACCTGTAGTATTAAGATGCGTATTACGCAGAATTCCCCTTGTTGGGACTTCCTGGCATCTCTTAAAAACTGAAGAAGAGCATTGAGCGTAACTGAAGGGAATCCGGGATAGCTGGCTTTATTTTTATCGTTGAGCGCACTATCCTGGTGCCCCTGCACACTCACGGAACAGTAGCCTCTTGGACGTGATGCAGTATTCTCAATGGCTTTCTTTGCAGTTATGCTGTGTGCCGTTTTCTCACAAATTGTCCAGAATAGCCTTGACGTGTGGTTCGGAATACCTCCACTTGACGGCCAGAGTAACGGATGGCTCGTGCTCCAGGTAGGCTAGCCACTGTGGCGAAATCTCGTGGGCTCTTCAACCTGCTACCACCCAAAACACTAATGGCTGCCTAAGTTTGTTACAAATAAGTTGACGGCAAATATAACGAATGCTGTAGGACTCGTATCAATATTGAAAAGACAGATGCTTTCATCCCAGCGCACCGGCGTAGCATGCGTCGCCGCTTCGAACAACGGCCATCTGCGTCGTTAGTCATTGGAACGCGCCACTTCCAATATGCTTCGACAGTATGCCTCCCTTCTGACTCAACCTATTAATTGGTGACTGATAAGGTGTCCTCCCCCCCAGCACCAGGCATGCCGAAGTGCTCGTCCGGGGACGTAGGTTGGGGAAGCAACGGAACTTTGCAGAGCTGAATGCAGAATCTATCTAGTATTTAAATCTCTCCAAGAGACACGCAAGGTGCCCACTCTACTTGCAGACTCTTCTATTGGAGTGTTACATCCTTCTGCCAGCCTGCACGAGGTTGAAGGTTTTTTCTTGCATGCATGAAACTTCGAACGGCGTCTACATTGAAGTATCTCCTTAACACTTATATTTTTGGAAACTCTGAAGGGGAAATGTGCTAAATCGGGTAGAAAACTGGACAATATTTCCAGAAGAAGCGGTGCGTAGGAAAAGCGTGCTTTTTGGGCGGCTTTCTCTTGTTTACCCCTCCGAACACTGACTACTATCAGATATTCACTAATTGAATAATCTTTAGTTGAAGTACATTCTTATCATTAATCTAGATTTCTCATTATTTCCAAGGGTTTCCGCCCTCGCACGGTTGCAGGAACTGCTTCTGAGCATTCCGGGTGTTCGTACATACACCTGAATCATCGAGCAAAGAGCTGCTTCAGTTGTGCCCCAAACCATATTTTCTTTCCGTTAGTGCAAGAGATCTTGCACTGAGGTCTGTTCTTTTTAGGGAATTCCTAAAACAGTGTGACCATGATGGAGAGACGGGACCACGGAAAGCGGCTTGCCCGCTTTCTTCCCATGATTGTAGGTTACTTCTAATGTCTCATATTACCGCCAAACTGCGAATCAACATAAAATTTCAGGTGATATGCAGTGTCATGGCTATTCTGTACACAGTTTACTTGCTGGTAAGCTCTTCCCCTCTTCCAACAAAACGAGCCGAACAACAATGAGCCTGTTTGCAGTACCACTGCCTGCCCATGTTCCAATTTGAGGTGCCTCCCGAGTACCGTGACCGTGGAGCCATTGCAATCGGCGCACTTCATTTTTTTGTTGGTAAGACGACCGGCCGAAACTGCAAATAGGAATCCCTTGGACACCGTTGACTTTTGCAGCCCACGCTGGAATGGCTATGGTTTTATGGTCGTTCTACAAAACGTACTCAACCGAGCCGGGACGCATTCCAGGTAGATACACTTTTCCTACGTGTACTGCTAGAGAGAAAATATTCATGAAACTTGATTTCAGATACTCACGAATGGGAGAGGCAGCCAAACCCTGTTCTCATCAGCGAAAGGAAACGTGACGGTACGATAACTCCGTTCTTTTGCTAAGATTGGCAGATGGCCATGTCGCCTTCTAGGCGGAGCTAGATACTGCCACAAATGCTCCAAGTATAAACCCGATCGGTGCCATCACAGCAGCAACAGTGGCCGTTGTGTCCTCAAGATGGACCATTACTGTCCTTGGGTGAGTGGATTTTCTCGGGTTACAGAACGAATCATCGGAAACTTCATGCGGTTTCTAGGTTGCTAACGATGTCGGTTTCTTCAACTACAAGTTTTTCTTCTTGACTCTGCTCTACAGTGGCGCAACGTTGACATTTGTGTGTTCCACCATGGCCTCCACCGGTATGCCTTATTTTTACAAACTACCATACATCCAGCTACTCTATGGAACACCAGTCAGCGCTTCCATTGACGACTCTAACATTTCCTTCGAACAAGTCTTTTTCACGTTCCTTGGGACTGCTCTGAGCTTCTTCATGCTTGCGTACGTTCTATTACAGTAGCTTGGGGAAGAAACCAAACTTAATATGTTCCTTAGCATTGTCGCACCGTTCTGCATCTTCCACTGCGTGCTCATCACCACGAATTGTACAACCATCGAGTTCTGCGAGAAGCGCCGCACGGGGCGTCCGAATCCTTACGATGTCGGCCTCTCTGAGAATCTCAAGCAAGCTCTCGTAAGGATGATTGCATATTTACTCCTAAACAAAAGTAAAATCTTCGTTCAAGGGGGACCAACCGCTCTTGTGGCCGATACCTGTTGGCGGACCAAGCGGCGACGGAATATCGTTCCCTCGCAACCGCTAGCGAATTACAAGTTTTCGCTGAACGGACAAGCTATAAAACTTTTTAATACAAAACCTTTGCCCTATACGAGCACATTGTTTCGTCACGTTGGCCTCCAGAGCCAGAATGTACGCGTCCGCAANAACCTTTGCCCTATACGAGCACATTGTTTCGTCACGTTGGCCTCCAGAGCCAGAATGTACGCGTCCGCAACACCCGCGTCAGTCCCGAGTACACTAAAAGCGGGTTCTCTAGATGAGCCCAATGCAATAGAGTGCCCCTGAGCTGGGAATAGACTAAACTGAGTAAATACAGCAAGTGCCCGTGTGTGGAAATCGCTAAACGTCCGTTACCAAAGAAGATCCATCAAGGCTTGTATCGCAGCAGCAGTCACAATACCGCATGCAGAGGTGACCCTGCCTGAGGCCGCGCTACTCTACAGGGGAACTACCGGAGCTCTTGGCAGAGTATGCACTGAAAAGGAAGACTTGTTTTCCCATCACATGTGCAGCAGTTCCCTTGCGTGCTCCGTCTTTTCTAGTGGCATGCTGGTGAACAGCCCGCCAGGAACAGGAAACTTTTACCCGCCAGTATCTGAACCCTTGGCCTCTGGCGTATTCGCCCTTGGGGCAAATGGAAGTACTTCCATGAAAAGCCAAGAAGCGTTCCCTTTTTTCCTGCTCATTAACCGTCGAATATACGCTCGTGCGAAATGCTCGCAAGTTGAGCTGGACGCACACAGGTGCAGACGATGACNAACCGTCGAATATACGCTCGTGCGAAATGCTCGCAAGTTGAGCTGGACGCACACAGGTGCAGACGATGACTGAAGTTCCGTGGCACGAGCTCGATTTACTGGAGGCATATGAACACAAGATATACAGTAGAGTTCGACAGACTGGAGCATCTGTGTTGTTAAGGCTGCAAAATGGAGAAGACCCACGAAACGTGTTCACGCCGTCCGGGCTCCCTCGGTCCCCGCCATACCCGTTGTGCTGCAAACTTTCGGAACTTGGGGAGCTTGGGCCCGGTACTGCTATTTTTCACTAATGGAACCGCTACCGTTTCCCAGAAGCATGTTCAATAATCGGAATTTCAGTTTCAGTAGTGCGCGTTGCTGTGCATTTTTGCTTACAATCGGGTCCCACTTCCTAGGATTAGATTCCGAGTGTTTTTATAGGAATACCGCTGCTCTTCCAGTTCATAAAGTTTCTCCTGCTTTTTTCTGCTCTGAATGGCCTTTCGTCCCTTGGGGCTGTAATTGCCGTTTACTCAAACAAAGCAGCAGATGCTGAAACAAACTGTTCGGCGTTCAATAGAGGTACACCTAGCCAAAATTT